CCCCCGCACCTTGACTGAGTTGCGGTCGTTCCTTGGGTTAGCCAACTACTATCGAAAGTTCGTAAGACACTTTACGATAATAGCTGCTCCCCTTCGCCRATTGCTTAARWAAGAAGTAATTTGGAAGTGGGATTCAGACTGCACTATGTCCTTCAAGCATCTGAAAAAGTGTTTGATTAATTATCCGGTTCTTAAAGTACCGGACCCTTCCTTACCTTTCGTGGTCACGACTGACGCTAGTCAATATGGTATAGGTGTTGTACTCCAGCAAGATGATGGGCATGGGTACAGGCCTGTAGAGTTTATGTCTTGCCGCTTACCTAACGAGAAGGTGGCCGCTTCAACGTATGAACGAGAGTCGTATGCTCTGCGTGAGGCTCTCAATCATTGGCGACACTACCTTCTAGGCAGGCATTTTAAAGTATACTCTGACCATGAAACACTTCGCTGGCTTAAAACGCAAGCTCGAATATCACCTAAGTTAACAAGGTGGGCTGCAGAGATTGATATGTTTGACTTTGAGCTGAAGCCAGTCAAGTACAACGTTGTTGCCGATGCACTAAGTCGTAGATCAGACTTTTTCGGTGCTATCGTGACTTACCTAGATGTAGGTACAGACCTACAAGAAAARAWTAGAGATGYGTATCCYTCTKATCCTGTTTATGGAACCATGATTAAGCTAGTGCAAGAAAAGCCAACAGAGTTTCCCGATCATAAAGTAACTCAGGGTCTATTGTTTGAACGAACTGACGTGCATGATAGGCTGTGTATACCGAATAATGAGGAGATCAAGAGTATGACCTTGGGGGAATGCCATGATACAGAAGGCCATTTTGGGTGGAAGAAGACCTATGGGACCTTGTTACGCTCCTACACCTGGCCTCGAATGAAAGCGGATTGTATCGCGTATGTGCAGGGTTGCCAAGTGTGCCAACGAAACAAAAGCACCACGCAATCGCCCCTCGGGCTACTTAAGCCCTTGCCTATCCCTACCGGCCCTGGAGACTCTGTCTCTATACATTTCATGGACACTAAGGTGAAGAGCAGAAATGGGAAGACGCAAGTAATGGTCATAGTGGATAGATTCACTAAGTTTGTTGTTTTTGTAGCTTTGCCTGCATAAGCAAAGACTGAATTGGTAATTCGGGAATTCTTTAACCATTGGGTAAAAGACTTTGGACATCCCTTAACTATTGTGAGTGACAGAGATACCAGGTTCACAAGTGAACAATGGCACCAACTGATGGATGTATATGGTTCTAAGTTGACAATGTCATCAGGTAGGCATCATGAGACTAATGGTCAGACTGAACACATGAATAAGATCTTGCAGCAGACTTTGCGCATGTACATTTGTCCCGACCAGATTGACTGAGATGAACAGCTGCCTAAGGTTGTTAGTGCCTATAATAACTTTGTGCACCTATCTACGTGTAAGACTCCTATCGAGTTACATCTGGGATGGCGTCCACGCAGACCCATTGATCGATTGAACCCGGATCAAGTACATAAGCTTCCTGTAGGGACAAGTGAGTTTGCAGTCCAATATCAGAAAGACATTGAGAAAGTAAAGGAAAATATACTTAAAGCACAGCATCAAATGATTGAACAGGCAAATAAACACAGACGCCCGTCTCAATTTGCCGTAGGAGATTTGGTTTGGGTGAAGTCTAAAGAGTTTGCTCCTCAAGAGAACATCTCTCAGAAGCTTCTACCCACCTACCAAGGACCTTGGCAAGTTCTAGACGTAATTGGAGATATGGATGGTCCTTCGTATGTCCTTAAGATTCCTCCTCATCCACGTACATATCCAGTGTTCCATGCATCCAAGCTCTTACCTTGTGTAACGAATGAGCTCTTCCCAAGTCGCCGGTCGGCGATACCTCCAAGTATGGATGGGAAGTATGACGTGGATAAAATTGTTGCGGAAAGTACTTACCACACTGGACGTAGAGGCAGACCACAACGACAGTATAAAGTAAGGTTTGCATATCAAGATCCTAGTGAAGATCGCTGGTTTACAAGAGA